CCCAATGAATGTATTCTCTTAATATTCAGACACTGTATTTGTGCGTCAGTTGGACTGTCCCCATCTGACATCCTGCCAACACTGAAAGGACACCTACTCATGAGCAGCTTGTCATCCTGGGGCTTCTCCTTATATTGACACTCTTTCCATTGAGTCCTGCCAAATCCTTCATTGGGTTTTCTTTTTCCTTTGCATCGGTCACTTTGTCCGAATGAGCATGAATAAAGAGAAGTGCGAATGAGCCGACACTATTTTTGTGGCCAGCGGAGGATGCTGCCAGGACTCCCCTGTATGTCTGCAGCTTGGGAATGTAAAGAGGGACAAGTGGGCCCCTCCATTGATGAGATTCCCTTCTCAACATTTTTAAACAAGCACAAATAATATTTGTAAAAAAAAATGGTTTAATTTTATTTATTATGGTAATAAACTATTTTATACATGACACTTTTGCCTTTCCTTCTGTAATTTCAATTGGGTGTTCTGACTTAAAACGAGACAAGAATGGTACTTCCAATTCCTTTTTGAGAGCTTGGGGAGCTCTAATTCAGAGGCACCTGCAATTGTGGGTTTTGGAGAACTTTAAATTCTAGAGACATCAGGATTGTGTGTCGAAGTGCCGCACAGCAAGAGAAGTTGTGAAGGTGCTTTGCAACATGACCTTGAGGTGGAGCTGTGTCTGCTCTACCGGTGCACAGAGATGTCTTCAAAAACCCTGTCGTGGAAAACTGTGGTACAACACATGACCTCCACTTAGAAATGAGCTTTTTTATTTTGAACAATTTGGATTGAAATTTGTATAAGATATATCAATGCTGCCCTGCCTTTTAAAATACAGTGTGGGGGGAAAAAACAAAAAAAACCCTGAATCTTTTCAGAATGACTCAGCATCAGCAGGATGAGTTTGACCTGTGCTTTAATTCACTGGTGGGCTCAGAGCTATGAAGGGAGAGGACTGCTTGGCCCTAAGCTAACTAGTCCTCTGCGCCAGCACTGCTTCAGTTCTGCTATGGCTTTAACAGGCGTTGCCTCCTGCTCACGGCAGGATTCTCCACAATACTGCCAACCTGAGTTCTTACTTAACACCGGTGGACCACATTTCAAAAGTGGCACTTTTCTTTTTATAGACAGTACAGCTGTAGGGATGAAGCCTCTGTGATCAAGCCACATTCAGGCCTCTGCTTGGTCTTGTAAGGCCACAGTATGAATACAGTATCTTTAATGACATTCTCTTCTCCTCACACCTTATTGTTTAATTACATTGCAGAAAAGCATAATAAAAATAATTGAAGGGTAGGTTGCTTAAAATTCTAAATGACTGACATCCATGTCAAAGTTCTCGCCTAATAAAGCAGGAAACATTACATGGGTTAGATCTCCTCAATGGGGGAAAATCTCTTTGTGAATATGACTTTTATAATTAGTCAAAAGGACTAGAAATACAGAGCCAAATAATACATTGTGGGTGCCAAATGGGTTTCAACTATTTTAAAAAGGGAGATTGTGTTGGTTTGTTTTAAAATAAACCAATTTCCCTGAAGAAAGGCCTCAGAGTGGCTTCTCAACGTGCTGAGAAAGGCCCATACTGTCAGGATAATCTGCTTGTCAATAGCTGGCCCTACTGAATGGATACGTTTGCTAGAAAACGAACCCATTATACTAGGGTCAATTTTTTACACTTAGTCAACAATTACTTTTTTGTTTTAAATAAACAAGTGAGCAGTATCAATTTATCTAAGGGGGACACCCCTCCCATTAAGTTACTATTCTCCCAATATATAGATCATTATGTAATTATATGATTGATATGTTTGTTTTCTATGTCTGCATTCTTGAACAGAATAAAGGGTGTTCTGCTGTCACTTCAAACAAATTAATCAGAAGAAACAATACAATACTTCTAAGTCTCTTGTGTGATCCCAAGAATTAAGTCAAAATGACTTCAGATTTGGCTGCCCTTCAGATGTCTTGCTTGCCTCCTTGGGGATCGTCTTGGCAAGCATGCTTGGAGCTCTCCGGCTTTTGCTGGGTTGGGGTCAGAGGGTCTTGGGGCTGGAAGTGACCTTGGGACCTTGTCTAGCTGTTTCCCAGCCTGTGCCTGAAGTTGCCCAGGGCTGAGGACCATGGAACGTGACATGTCAGATGTTCCTCAGCTGGAACTGCCTTCTGCCCAAGCACCTCAAGTCTTTCACTTAAAGCAACTCCAAGATTTTGGTTCATATGCACCAAGAAAGATATGTTATCATTTTCATATGATACCTGGGGAACAGCAAGACGCTAAAGTAAGAAAACGTTGTCCGGGATCATTGACATGTCGGTCAGTCAGTCCTCAAACGTATAGCTAAACTCAGCAATCACTTAGGAACTCCTGAGAACACTCTAAATCCTGTAATAGCTTAAAACAAATTCAGGATTCTTACTTTCAAATATATTCCAATATAGTTTAATGAACGAATAAGACTACTTACTTCTCTATAAATGGTGTCTCTGAAGACTCTAAAATCTTTCCCATTATTTATACCTGTACACACACTTCTTTACAGTCACCTTCAAACTCCCCTTGTTCCTCCCCTTCCTTTCATGTAAACTTTAGCCAAACTCCCTTTGTCTGCCCACAGTCCCGAACCAGTGTTAGCCCGTGAAGTTTTACTGTATTCACTGGAGTGCTCACTCTTTCCAGCCTCGTGCCCGCCTTAAACGCGCCCGGCACCTTGGAATCGCCTGCCTGTGTCTCCTTTACCAAGCCGGCTGCTGAGGCCACCGCTGCCCTGATCTGCCCCCCCCC